CATGTCAAAATTATGCATGTATTTCATGATACTAAAGATTGACCTTTTCCATCTTTGCTTTCTCATTTTAAGCTATAAATTTGGCAAGAAGAAATGTAACTAAAACCAATAGTATTTTAATAGAAAAGATGCAAAATTATATTTCAACGCTTTGTTTCTCTTGATTGTTTTTCCTGTCATCTATCTCTTTCTTAGGTCATATGACTGTGTGTATTAGTTTTGTTTCCTGGCTGTGATAACAAGATAGGGTTGGGCCCCCATGACTAATATCTTAATTAAAGGGAGGTTATAATTAAGATGGAGCCAGGCTCTTTTCAGTGCTGTCCAGTAATAGGACAAGAGGCAACCCCTTCTAACCTCAACCATTCTGCAATTCTGCGAGTAGTGGCAGGATGTTGATACACTGATTTCTTCTAACAGAAACCAAATCCAAAGCATGAACTGCCTGCATTTACTATAATTTATGACAGCAGTAGGTAGATGAAACATTTGTGACATTAGTCACAACATCTGCGATATTCTGCACACAGTAGAATTCTTTTCACTGATTCAAAGCCTTGCTTCCTTGAAGATGAATAGAATTTGTAGCTCAACTTGTTCAACCTGCTTTTTAGTAATGCCTTATATGTTTTCAAAGATATAAAATTAAATAGCACATGCTACACAATTTTCTTCTGGTAGCACTGAATGTTGGTACTTAACTAGTAAGGAATGTAACTGCAAAATTCAGAATTGGATGAAAACCAGTAATAAGAAAAACATCTCATTTTGGAAGACATTTTAAATTATTTAAATGTGCATTTTTTTTTTAAATGTCAACCACTCATGTAGCTGATCTCATACATTACTGAATGCAATATGATTGCAATGGTTGATTATATTCCAAAACACTAATCTTTGTGTACAGTGAGAAAGTGGGCATTTTGGGACCACCCAACACATCTAATAACTGCAATATCAATATTGAAACTCAGGAGTTTTAACTGAAATAGAGTACAAAAGACTGTACGTTAGGATGTTTCCCAGGCAGTATATGGAAAAACAGAGACTTCCAAAGAACATGGCTTAATACATTTCTTTCCATTAACAGGAGTATTTTCCAAGGAATTCACACCTGGTGATACAGAGCAATAGGAGAGAGCAGCCTCTTACACAGTGTGTGCACCTACAAGTACTCAATTATGTGTTGTGAATACTTCTTGCTGTGATAATGACAGTTTGAACACAATGAAAGGAAAACTTTAAGGGCAAATAGAGAGTAAGTTTTAAGAATCATAGACTGTTGATTATTACTGGCTTGTTTGAATCCTTTCCAACTTAAGTAATGCCATCAGTGCATCCTAAATAAGAATACTACTATGAAGAAAGATGATCCAGTTCAGCATATCGAACATGTCAAAATTATGATTTTTCATTCTCTAATGCTAATCATTGTAGTTTACCTGTACTTTAGTAAGGCCTTTGATACGGTTTTCCACAGTATTGTACTGGAGAAACTGGATGCCCATGGTTTGGACAGGAGTATTCCTTGCTGGGTAAAAAACTGACTGGAGAGCTGGGGCCAGAGAGTGGTGGTGAATGAAGTTAAATCTAGCTGGCGGCTGGTCACAAATGGTGTTCCCCAGTGCTTGGTACTGGGGCCACTCCTCTTTAATATACTTATCAGTGATCAGGATGAGGGGATTGAGTGCACCCTCAGTAAGTTTGCAGATGACATCAAGTTAGGTGGGAGTGTCAACCTGCTTGAGGGTGGTATAAAGGCTTTGCAGAGGGATCTGGACAGGCTGGATCAATGGGCTGAGGCCAATGGTATGAGGTTCAACAAGGCCAAATGTGGGTCCTGCACTTGGGTCACAACAACCCCACGCAGTGCTATAGACTTGGGAATGAGTGGCTGGAAAGCTGCCCAGCAGTTGGTCGACAGCCACTTGAATTTGAGCCAGCAGTGTGCCCAGGTGGCCAAGAAGGCCAACAGCATCATGGCCTGTCAGGAACAGTGTGATGAGTAGGACTAGGGGAGTGATTGTCCCCCTGTACTCAGCACTGTGTCCAGGTTTGGTCTACAAAATAGACATTGAGGTGCTGGAGTGTGTCCAGAGAAGGGCAATGAAGCCAGTGAGGGGTCTGGAGAACAAGGAGAAGCTGAGGGAGCTGGGGTTGTTTATCCTGGAGAAAAGGAGGCTGAGGGGAGACCTTATTGCTCTCTACAACTACCTGAAAGGAGGTTGTAGAGAGGTGGGGGGTCAGTCTCTTCTCCCAGGAACAGGTAATAGGATAAAATGAAATTGGCTCAAGTTGCACAGGGAGGTTTAGATTGGATATTAGGAAAAATTTTTACACCAAAAGAATTATTAAGCATTGGAACAGGCTGCCCAGGGAAGTGGCTGAGTCAACATCCCTGGAAGTATTTAAAATACGGGTAATAGTGCTTTGAGACATGGTTTAGTGATGGTTTTTGTCAGTGTGAGGTCGACAGTTGAACTAGATAATCTGAAAGGTTCCTTCCAATCTAGGCAATTCTATGATTTTGTTCTACGATTCTATGAATGATTTTTAGAACCCAAAAAATAATGTATTTTCCCATCACAATTTTTCTTCTTTTGGCCAGGCCTGCTTTGTGCTTTTTAAGATTCCTTTATATCCCTAGCATATATTTTTCAGAATTATATCTCAGCTAAAAAGACAAAATATACCATACAGTAGTGTAAACATCTGCACAGGAAAACTGTAACTTTCAAAGGCACTCGATATGTGAAAATCAAGTTGTAATTCACTGGCATTTGTACATTTAACTTCCTCAGGCCCTTCTGAAAACTTCATCTTAAAGTATCTCCTGTTTCATCTGTCTATTTCTCTCATGGTTTTTATTTCAAAAGAAATAGCTATTTCTTTATGATAAATATATAGACAATCACTATAGACACATCTTAATACCCAATACCAAGTATACATCATTTATGCCATCACACAGGAACTTTCAATCAGTTACTTTGTTATTATAATTATTATCATAATTATAATTGTTATCCAACACACACTAGACTTCATATGTGTAATCAAATTTTGCAAAGTAATGAAATCCATTAGAAAATAATATTTATAATGGTACCTTTTTCATGGAATTTTGAGTTATTTTTCATACTTAATATAAGGAAAACTAAACATAACTAAATTAAAAGATGACTTTGTAGGAAGAAATCCTAATAAATGTCTCTGGGTTCCATACAATTCATGTCTGTCTAGCATTTACTTCAGATAAAAGGCAGGGTTAACTATGCCCAATTGGTATCAAACCTGATAATCTCTTTCTGTCCTGAGAATTGCTCTTATTATCAAAAGCAACCCCAACAGAGAACAAGGATAAAGTACAAAAACTGTGCAATCCTACTGTCAGTTTAAGTCTCTGATAGGGGTCAGTAAGTAAAAGGATGAGACAGTGACACCAGGGCACTGTGTCTCCATTAGGCCTGTTTAACTGCACTGACATTTAAGGATGTGATGGGAGCATGCTCCTCTCCTGACTACACAAACTGTCAAATATATTAAAACATATAAAGAAAAGTTCTGTGATTTTGTTATTAACTGACAGAATGGCATAGGTGCAATGATCAGTCCTATCTAGGAACTGTGGAACAATATAAACAATTAAGTCTTGCTTATTTATTTCTATTTATATATTTGAAAATAGTTATTGAGGTTTATACTATAATATTATAAAAAATAATAAAAATTCTGCTAAAATGGCTCACTAGTGATTATTGAAAGAGCGAGCCTGAAAAAATTCTTCTCAAAACCAATTTTGAAGAGAAGAAAATCAAAATAAATGAAGTGAAAATTAAAATATGTCCCCGCATATGTCTATTTGTTGGAGAATAGCTATGTTACAGCTACTAATAAATATTGTATTTATTTCTTAGGTCTTCTGGGCTGGAAAATCTCTCCATTCCTAACATCCAATTACAACTTTGACCATTTATCATTTTCCTTTCAGATTTATTTCCTACATCATAATGCATTGCTTGCCTGCCAAAAAGATGGAACACACACCCATACATTGAAGACACTTCAGAACTCTTCAGGAAATCACTCAGTTGATGGTTTGTAACTGCTACTTATCCTTCTGTGCCACAAATCCTATTCCAACTTCTATTTTCCTACTGGAAAGACTTTTTCTGTTCAGAGTCTTAATCTCAAACAGGCTCACTCAAGCTATATTGCAAATGTAGAACAAATGTACCTAGAAAATCTCTAGCAAAATAGAACAATGATGAAATATAAAAGCAGGATTTTTTGTTTGGTTTCATTTTTTGAAGACCTTTGCTTAATGAATTTGAAGAACAGTTTGAAGCAACATTTTTCCAACAATTTTTTTTATGTTTCAAATTTCTATCCTCTGACTGGCTTCTATATCAGACTCTTCTCTAAGCAAAAATAATCTCCTTTTCTCCTGGATAAAATTCAAGAGCTTTGAATAAGCAGCCTGTCCATAAAGCAGCCTAAATAAAAGAGATTGTCACAAACTTGTGAACTCCAGGGAGGGTTATAAGAAGGACTAGAGACTTGTTAGGGATTAGTAAAACAGAGAACTAGGAAAAAACCAGAAGACCGCTGAAACTTGGAAGGTTAAGCTCAAGACCGAGCTTTTCCTCAAATCAATCCTTACCTTATTGCACTGAATACTTTCCACCCACAGCAGTCTCCAGTACCCTGAAGATTCGAAGTTATTAATCTTAGCCTTAAGTACGTGGGCAATACCACTGGAATACGATCTCAGATGAAATCCTGCCATGCTTAAATCACTGTCAAGGGTCTTGTCAACTTCAGAAAAAACAGGATTCCTCCACAGAATTCAGTATTACTAACTACAGAACGACATGCTTATAAATTATTAAAGTTTAAACATGAATTACCAGGAAAAACTGACCTTCCATTAAGAATGTACTTTCTTTTTTTTTCTTTTAAAACATATTTGAAAGAGAAAACAAAATATTAGAACTTACATTCAATATCAAGGTACATGCTCTTTTGGTGCCCACCAATTCTACTTGCAGCTTCACAGTCATATCTCCCTGAATCTGACAACTTCACATCTTTAATATGCAGTGACGATTTTCCATGCTGCCCTTTGACTTCTATACGGCCATCTGGGCTCTGTTTACATTGATTCAGGAAAAAGAAAGGTTTTATATATATATATGTATGTATATTTATCTATGTTGTATATATTAAACACCATTGATAAGTATGGCTGAAAGCACCTCTTCACCTATGGTGAAGTTATTACTGACAGCTAAGCAATTTCTAAATTTGTCAAATAAATTAAAAATAATATAGAAAAAGATGTTCTATCTCTAGGCACTATAATCAAGGGAATAAGTACATGCTTAAAGGAACATTGTCAAGGTAAAACACAAAATGTATCCACTTATGACTGGAATAATGAACTGCATATTCAAAATCTGTTTATGATCCCGCTCCTTTTGTTATCATGCTGCAGTTAATGAAAACACTTACATGTAAAATCATAGTATTGTAGATTATAGTTAGCATTATCTTTCTTGTCACGTAACTTAAAAACGTAACTGTGAAACTGAATAGAAATATCCCCCCAAACAATAACCAAAGCACAAATCCAGTCAGAGCTTTATTTTCACTATTCACATTTTCATGTCAGAACCTCATAAATGTTAAAAAACATGATCCATAACTACATCTGGAATTTCAGGGTTTAATTTCCACATCATTGCATGGAAAAGGCAAGGGAGAAAAACCAATGCTGGCTTCTGATTTTCTAGAACATAAATTTTATATTTAGCAACTTCATAAAAACCTTTTTCCGTAACACCTCCCCACCCACTCCCCAAAAACTATTTGAATTTCAAGAATATAAAATATTAGGGAAAAATAAATAAAACATCAAAAATTCCACTGCTTGACACTTCAGCCTTCATGGAGTAGTATACCTGAGGAAAAAGAAGTTATTTTTAATCTGGTTCTGCTCTTTACATGTATTGTAGCTTTGGGAAACTTGCTTTATTCATTGTTTCACTTTTTTCATTTGAGGGGAAAAAAAAGAAAGCTCATTAAAAATACTGATATTCACTACTTTCATTATTGAGGAAGGTGGGAAAGGGAGGGATAACCAGTAACTACTTCACTCTGTCACATTTAAACTTGAAACTTACTTCATTGTCCAATCCTATAAATACATACGCTCAAGTTTACTGCTTTTTACACTAAATATTCACCGAGTGGCAGCTAATATTTAAGTCATTGAGCTTTTAAATTTGTACAATTGTTTCTTTACTAAATATATGAAAAAGACACACAATTTTGATCTTAAAATATTTGACATAAACCAGTTATATAAAACATTCTGTATATCATAATTACTATGGAAAAAAAGGTATTCTGATCCCATATGAGAATCCAAGAACACTAATTTTTTTTTTCCTGTGAAAACCTCACAGCATAGGTACATAAATTAAAGTTAGGGAATTCTAATGCAACATTGAACCTAACCCCCTCTGGATTGGTAAAAATCAGTATCTAGGACCATCTACTTATCTCTCATATCCTTTCTAACACTGAAAATTGTATTTTCATTATACATCTAATAAAAGAAAGTTACTAGTAAACATAGTACAGTATTGAATGTCATGTTGGAATATGCTGGAGATTAACATGTGAAATGAAAAATGCTAGACAGTGTGACGAATTTTCACAAGGACTTCAAAAATTCTAGTGTGGCTGCAACATATTGTTCTATGGTATAAATCAGTTAAGAGAGATCTGGTTAACTAAGTCAAGAATATACTATGACACAAAAACTACAATAACAGAGCAGTCATGCTGAAGCACAGCTATGAACTTGCATTGGGATCACAGCAGAGACACAGAAGTTGACTACGACAAAGAGCAATGAGGAAGCTGGGACAAAAATTTAATATGCCGTGTTACCTGAAGCAAAAATTGAAACCATGCTAGTTATATGTTCTCATTCTTGGAAAGGGCATTATCAAAATTAGAATATACCAACAAAGCAGAAGTCTGCATTCATACTGGTGCGTAAGGTCAGTCATATCTAACTTTGAACAGTAAACACACAGTGTCAAACAGGGACAGCCCTAACCTTGGAGTCTGCAACCACCAGAACTTTATAATCCTTGGTAAAAACTTTCTGGGTCTTATTTCTTTCCTGCACTAAGTATGGAGAGCACATGTTAGCACCATGTCTGGCATTGTAACCCACCAAAACAAGAAGAGGAAGAGGCACCACACATGGGAACATGAAGTACACTGCACCTGCCCAGTGGTCCTGAGTAGAAATCCCCAGCAGGAAAAAAAGCACTGGAGCTGCTGCTGGTGACAAATCAAAATATAGATATAATCTCTATAAATTTATAACGTCAGTAACTCTCAAGTCTGTCTGAAATAACAATGGACACCTACTAAATTGGAATATTCTTTTCTTCTCTTTCAAATGTTATAGTGGGAGAGATGAAATATATGTACTATGGTGTTTTCTGCTAGATTGAATAAGTCCACACATTTTTATTTCTTAGTATTAATAAAGAGTATAAAAAATAGACAAAATAAAAACCTCAACAACCAGAAGAGTCTCTGTGGTTCAATGCTTATGAATTCTATTCATTCAGAGAATTACTCTGTTTCACTGTGGAGCACGCATAATCAGTGAGGTCTGAAAACATAATGGTCAACACAGTTCTATACAGATATTTCTTTAGAAATATTAGTGAGCAAGCATGTTTACAAGAGGTTACACCCCAAACACCACAGAGTGAGAACTTTCTGCAATTGCCATATTCTTATTCAGAATATTTAGTTTAACTTAAATGAATTCTACAGTAATCATAAACCAGGAGTTATCTCATCACTTGAGATTAATTCCACAGGTTCCATAAAAGTAAATACATATTTTCCTTATTTTGGTAAAATTCTTATTGTGCTATATATACTGTTCTACTACCTGACTTTTTCTGTCATGCTTTTGTTTCCCAAACTTCTCACATGATTTGTAGTTCTACACGTGAATATTCCCGAAGTCCTGCCTGGCTGATGCTGACCTGACTGATTGATGCACAGCTCCAAAACCATATTCCAGAGGTCCCAATGCAGTACCATAATGATGATAACTGTATTTCAAGGGTTTCACATGCAGAGGAGGTATGCAGTTTTCAGGGTATGATTGCTAGGGAGAACAGGGATGTGATAAAAGTACAACATCCACAAAGAGAAATAACCGCTTCTGGGACAGAATAACTTATTCAGGCACCATGGAGCGTTCAATCTGCACAATTCCATTGCCATTGTAGTTCAAAAAGTGTAATTTCTCAGAAGGGGAGAATTAGCTGATTATGATGCTTAGAAATTGTCATCCTTTTCCAATTGTAGAAAGCTGTACTTGAGGAGAGGTGGATAGCGTGATTATTGGTTGAGTTTGATTTATCAACCATTTATGCAACTCCCTCTGAGGAACTGTAGCACCAAATGAGATGAAGCTGTATGGCTGCCAAAATGTGCATTTTGAGTTGGCTGAAAGCAAGAGTGGAAGGTGAGAACAGATGCAGAAATTGGTAACTTCTTTGTAGCTGGATTTTGATAATATTTCTTGAATGGTTAGAGCAGCTGTGACTTTGTGTTGATTATCTTCCCTCCTACAGAGTTTACCATTTGGCTGACAAAGCACTCCTTCCTCCCTTGAAGTCCAAGTGCAAGACCGCAAGCAAAAAATTCCTCCATTTAAAATCCAGTCAAGTTGAAATACCGTTATTTGTTTTTATTTTAACACATAATGCTTTTTTTTTGTGATCAAAGTGCCATTACTGTCCATAGGTACACACTGCAGGTCAATTTTGCCTGTCAGATATTTAACAAACATGTCTCCTGACACCTTGTGTACGTTAGTGCTCTTTTGGACGTGCATTGAATGTGTTGACAACAGAAAAGATGAAGAAACAGTGTCTTAGAATTAAGAGTGTTGTTTCTTTTGTAAAACACTGTACAACGTACTCAAGAACAATCCTTTTGAGAATGTATGACTTGAGTAAAATCTGTAGGACTTTTTCAAGTTCCTCCGAAGGAGCTGCTGCAGAGGTACATGGTAGAAGATCCTCACATTTGGGAAAGGGGGAGGAAGGAGGGGAAAAAAAAAAGAAAAAAGAACCTGCTTTAATTTTACTAGCTCTTCCTTCTTCAGATCAAATTGTTAAAAACAGCCAACTAATTATGTTGTCTTGGTCATATTGTGAGTATGCATCACTGACTTTTCAAGGAGAAAACAAATACTGATTAACAGAATCATCTTTGGAATTTCATGAATAACAACTTTTTTAGGAAGCTTTCTGATTTTGGATTGTGTTGATACCCACACGAGAGGAAAACTTCAGATCACATACTTCAGGCTGGCGTTTCTTATATGTGAGATTTAAGCAGATCGTAATTGCTCATGAAACTGTTCCTTGAAGTAGCATAAAAGATAAGAACTTCTGCAACCTGACATACTGATACTAAATGATGAGAAAATTCCAGAAGTCTATTAAATTTAAGTGACCAGCAATTCCTAGTCTGAAAATCTACCTTTGATGATGAGAAAGGGCTGTTAGTCACAACAGCCATCATCGTGTAGAAGCTGATGGAAGCTCCCTTCTGGATTATGGATGGTATATTCACAATATTTCCCATTCTCTTCAGGTAAATGTATTCTATCCATGCACCTGTTGGAGACAGCAGAAAATTCCAGAGTATTGCTACGTGCATATGCCTTAATGTCCAGTGAATCAGAATAATTCTATAGCAGTGTCTTGAACTTCAGTGACTTTTATAGCAGACCTTGTGATTCTTTTAGAACTGCAGCTCATTAAATATATAAGTCAGCACGCTGCAAATTCCTGAATTTGTTAGGATTTTTTTTTCCACAAGGAAGAAATTATTGAAGAACCTATTGTTTGTAGTTCTATAATATAACACCAGAGAAGTCACAAAAAGCTATCTTGAAGAAAAAAAAATATCGTTGTTTCGATTTTCTGTTCATCTGCAGACACATCAGTTACTTTTACAGAATTCAGATTGGAAATAGTAGTGGGTTCTATGCAGGTTGTAAACAGCATGTACAGTCTCAGGAAAAATGT